GGCTCCCGCCTTTTCCGGCTGCGGCTTCCGCGACCACAAGTACTGCTGCGACGACCCGCACAGCTTCTTCCCCTACGAGCACAGCTACATGTGGTGGCTCAGGTACCGCCCCTGGCCCTCACCCCGCCTGAACCCCACACCGGTCTTGGCCTCCCACCCCCATCCCAGCCCAGTCTCTGGTAGATCTCAACCCTTATCTGAGTGCCCATCTGAACACCCACACCAACCCCGCATCCTGCCCTTTGACCTTTACTCTCCCGCTATCACCAGCCCACCCTTTCTCGAAACCCCATTTCGACTCTATTCCCTCGTCCTGACCCCAACCGTTATTTAGGTCCATGCTTGGCTTCTTCTCAACTCTACCTCTGCACGACTCCTGCTCTATCCCCACTCTGAACTCCATTCCTCCTCACCCTGCGCCTGACAGCAAACTTCCATCTTGGAACATCCACAGGAAATCCAAACTCCATCCGCCTTCATCCAAGTGCTCACCAAGGCCCCCTTCCTAATATCAACACCAACCTCATTGCTGACTTTACACACTCCCCCTTAGGGATCGCAGTCTTTTTTCTCTCAAAAGCCCCAACCTCGCCCTCAGTCCTGCCTGCCATCTCACCTTCTCTCTATTTCCACACCTTGACCCCAGACCCAGTAGTATCTAGACCAACCTCCAAACCTCAACCTCAACCTCAAGCCTTAATCCTCACCCGGTGCTATACCTAGTCCCAGCCTCAGCCCACCCTCAACCTTTTCCTCCTCTTTCATACTTTGTCACTTTTTCAGCCTCTGCACTGAGCACCAGTGTGTGTCAAATCCTGTGGTAAGTGCTGGGGATATACCCCACCCCTGAGCCAAGGCAGAAGACCCATGGGTCCGAGCTGCGGCCAAGTTCATTCTGAAACAATGGCATAATGGCACTGCAGAAGCCAGCTCAGGTCCTAATAATAGAAGTACAGTTTGATTGCATCTCTACCCATGGGACCTCAGTTTCCCCACTTGTTCAGGTAAGGGGTTAGGTAGGCCAACTCTGACATTCCTGGAACGTACGTATGGGTTAAGGAGGCAGTAGGTCCAACACCCTCTGGATTTTCAAAAGCCTTACCCAGGGACTGTGACCTGATCCTCAGCCGGCTCTGGGAAACAGATGTCAGCAAGAGCAGAGCGGGCCATCTCAGTCCATAGTGATTTTCCTGTCCCTGGGGGGAAGTGAGCGGAGACTGCATGCCCTCTGGGTGAGAAAGGACATCATCATATGCCACTGGAATCTCTCAGCCGGTGTCCTTCCTCTGTAAGATGGGGAGGATGAGCCATCATTACCCTGATTTCCAACTAAGACAATGGCAAAGATGAAATGAGATAACAGAGGTGAAGTCAACTGGGTATGTGTCAATTACATATTACAAATATTACTTCTCTGACTAGGCTGCCCAAACTGTAATTCTAAAAGACTTTCAGATGGCCAGATTAGATCCTGCACATTTGACTGCTATCTATAACCCAGGGGTTCATAGTAACTTATTTTCTATTCATCTCCATATTTATTTATTCACTCATTCATTATAGCCTTTGCTTTCTGTCAAGCACTGGGGACACACTTCTCTATCTATTCCTCTCTGCCCCCAAGGAGCTCGCAGTCCTTCTAGACAGATATAAAACGCCCTGGAAAACAATAGAGTATATGTTGAAGACCCATTGTGTATCTAGCACTGCGCAGAGTGCTGAAATAAGATGATATTCACCTCCCTTTGAAATACAGAGAAAGTGTGGAGCTATGGGCTGGTCAAAACCTGGCCCACATTGGGACCAGCAGTTAGCGTAATGGCTATGTCGCTGGACTCCCATGTAGTTGACTGAGGTTTGAGTTCTGGACCTGGCTATGTCGCTGAACTCCCATGTAGCTGTCTGCAGTTCAAGTCCCGGACCCGGTGACTTAAACTCACACTGGGTGCCTGTGTGTACATGCCCAAGATCCCAAGAGGAGAATGGAGGAGAAGGGATTGTGGCATGGCCATCCCCCCAGGGTGTGTGTCTCGCTTTTTGTCTCTCTGTCTCTCTCTCTTTCTGGCGAGCGCCCTATGGCAAAAACCTCTTCAAAAAAAAAGAAAGAAAAAAAGAAAAAAAACCTGGTCCACACTTATCCTTTATTATCTATGTGAACTGGAAAATGTATTTAATTTCCTAGTCTTTCTCATCTCTAAAATGGCAATAGTAATACTTATCTCATGGAATTGTAAAGACTAAGTGAAATAGCAGACATGGAAGTGGCCAGTGCATGTGGTAGATGCCCAATAATAGAGAGCTCCTTTCCCTTGGTTCACAGGTGTGGGGAGTCTCAGAGTATGAAAGTGAATTGCCCAAGATCTTCTATCAATCTCATAGCAGGCTGAGAGCTAAAGAATATTACCTAGGGCTATTCAAGGGTTAGATGCTTTTGTGTATGCAGAGCCCTGTCATGTCTTCTCTCCATTTTGCAGATGAGAAAACTTGAGAGAGGTTAAGTTACTATCCAGGAATGCTCCTGTGAGAGGAGGTGGCAGAACTGGGATGAAAACTCAAGCCAGGGGAACCAGCAGTTAGCGTAATGGCTATGTCGCTGGACTCCCACATAGTCGACCGCGGTTCGTGTCCCGGACCCGGTGGCTTAAAACTCGCGCCGGGCGCGTGTGCCCAAGATCCCGAGAGGAGAATGGAGGAGAAGGGATTGCGGTGTGACCATCCCCCCTGGGGGGTGATTTCTCGCTTTCTGTCTCTAATGTCTCTCTTTGTCTGTCTGGCGAGCGCACGCGCCCTATAGTGAAAATCTCTCAAA